CCTTTCCTGTACCAAGAAGAGAGGGATGAAATCTTCTCAGAGTACTGCAGCTAGGAGGGGCTCAGAGATGGTCCAGGAAAGCCCCTGGCTCTAGAGGTAAGAAAGGGTGAAGTTCTGAGAGTTTGGGGGCAGTCCACAGCGTTAGAGCTTCCATATTCTGATCTGGTTCCTGGTTCCTTATGCCTTATTCTAGACCACAGTGCTTCATGGTGTGGAGTTTGGTTCACTTTTGTATTGCATTATAGTCAGACTGTTTTAATTGAGGCCACGAGCCCGGGTTAATGTGCATAGCAAGTTGCATTTCTGCCTCATTGACCGCTCTAACACTGGAACCAAAGGTGCATGCTGAAGAACGTTGTTACCTTTGTTCACAGAGCACAGGTAAGAGATAACATTATGAGATTAAAATAATTACGCAAAATTTACATAATCATTCAGATTATCATGCAAAATGGAAGGTGCACAAAAAGTATCTATCTATTAATATGGATTCTGGCTTTGTTCATTTATTCATTTAAATGTCATTAGTTTTTAACACCTGCAATGCACAGTATTGAGTGTGTTAGGGGAATAATAACTACAATTTTCTTAGTGCCAGCGATGTGTCTATAATTTGTATTTGTCATCTGTTCCTCCCATAGAAGTTGTATGGTGCAGAGGTGACCACTCCCATGGTAGGCAAGAGATTTGAATTCATACCTGATTTTGAAATCCAACCTCTCAAAAACTACCCTCTACTCTAAAAGCACTAACTGTCCAATGTAGGAGATAAACTATTTGAACAAGTCAACTGGAAATCAAAATAGAGTCCAACAACTGCTTTAGGACAGGCACAAATAACCATCATAGAAGCAAGAGGAAGGCATAGTATTCTTAGGTGGAGGGACCAAGAACGCTTTGGGGAGAGATTGTAGTTTGATTTTAAGTATTTCAGCTGGGCCTTGAGGTATGGGTAGGAGTATCCAGCTCCCTCAACCACTAGGAACTGGATGGCTCTAATACTTTCATTAACAGCCTGGTAAACATACCCATGAGCCTTTTCTCACTCTATCTAGATCCAGTATTCAAAACAGAGAGAGACAGGGAACAAGTGCTGAGACAGCTCCAGCCTTGAAGCCAGCCTTTTATGAAATAGGCAGCCTTTCCTGTACCAAGAAGAGAGGGATGAAATCTTCTCAGAGTACTGCAGCTAGGAGGGGCTCAGAGATGGTCCAGGAAAGCCCCTGGCTCTAGAGGTAAGAAAGGGTGAAGTTCTGAGAGTTTGGGGGCAGTCCACAGCGTTAGAGCTTCCATATTCTGATCTGGTTCCTGGTTCCTTATGCCTTATTCTAGACCACAGTGCTTCATGGTGTGGAGTTTGGTTCACTTTTGTATTGCATTATAGTCAGACTGTTTTAATTGAGGCCACGAGCCCGGGTTAATGTGCATAGCAAGTTGCATTTCTGCCTCATTGACCGCTCTAACACTGGAACCAAAGGTGCATGCTGAAGAACGTTGTTACCTTTGTTCACAGAGCACAGGTAAGAGATAACATTATGAGATTAAAATAATTACGCAAAATTTACATAATCATTCAGATTATCATGCAAAATGGAAGGTGCACAAAAAGTATCTATCTATTAATATGGATTCTGGCTTTGTTCATTTATTCATTTAAATGTCATTAGTTTTTAACACCTGCAATGCACAGTATTGAGTGTGTTAGGGGAATAATAACTACAATTTTCTTAGTGCCAGCGATGTGTCTATAATTTGTATTTGTCATCTGTTCCTCCCATAGAAGTTGTATGGTGCAGAGGTGACCACTCCCATGGTAGGCAAGAGATTTGAATTCATACCTGATTTTGAAATCCAACCTCTCAAAAACTACCCTCTACTCTAAAAGCACTAACTGTCCAATGTAGGAGATAAACTATTTGAACAAGTCAACTGGAAATCAAAATAGAGTCCAACAACTGCTTTAGGACAGGCACAAATAACCATCATAGAAGCAAGAGGAAGGCATAGTATTCTTAGGTGGAGGGACCAAGAACGCTTTGGGGAGAGATTGTAGTTTGATTTTAAGTATTTCAGCTGGGCCTTGAGGTATGGGTAGGAGCCCTTACAATGGAGACAAAGGGGAAAGAGACTGACAGCAGAGAGCTGTGCAGGCTCTACCTTCTGGAACCCAGAAGGCATGGGTCCTTGTCGGGGGATGCTCTCAGGGAGTACCAAGCCATGGGTGCACTAGGAGAAAAGTGAAAAGAAAAAGTAGAGATGATCTCAGAACACTCAGGTTCTTTTTTTTTTTTTCTTTCTCCCAGTGATAATTGAATATTAAGGCCGATCTTCATCTTAATGGATACATTTATTCCTGTTCTGGCAGCAGAGCTTCTGTAACACAAACATCGTAAACGAAAAAGATGTGCCAAACAAGGGAATGGAGGGCGGCTTTGATGATGTTCCCTTACTGCTCCCAAACCTGCTTCCTGGGGTCATGTGAGGTCTCTCTGGTCCAACTGGATAGCCATTTTAGCAGGTGTATCTGGGGTCTATTGAAGAACTGGCCCTATAACCTCTGGACTGCTCTCGTCGCTCTATGATTCGAATTCAATCTGTATCATCAAAAATGTGTGGCTATCCTCCCCCCACAATGGAGAGTCGCTAAAAATACACAAACTCATTTACATCAGCACATGTGCTCCTAACAGGCTCAGTAGGTCACTTGCTCGTCCGTCCAACAGTACTCCTCAAGAGTCTGCTGGCAGGGATCTGGTGGGGCATTGGCATATCTTTCAGAAGCAGGATGGAGGCTTGCGTAATTAGATGGATAAGGAAAACACTGAAAGGTATTGAACTGAGAGGAAATTATCGTGTGATTTTAGACATGTTGAGCTGGGGAGCATTTGATATCCCAGAAGGACTATCAAATAGGCAGCTGGGCTTGAAAACTGCTAAGTGGTCTGGGCTACAAATATGCCTCGAACCTGAAAAGGGGAATTTTCATAAATGGTGGTGACCTAAACTGGGATAATGGCAGGGGAGATGGACCAAGTGGACCAACTGAAGCATAATTTGGAAGAGAAACATATTTGTCCCACCGAAACTGATGCAGCTACCTCCACCACCACCACCAACCCATTAGTGGTCAGTGATTTGTGTGTGTATACCTATCTCTCTCTATATAGATCCCGTAGACAATGGGAGAGGGCCATTTCTTAGGACATAGGGCTTCAGGCCCTCTGCCAGGCTTCCAAGGAGTTGGAGGTGCTGATTTAGGGAACATTTTCCTTTCAGCCATGTGTCCCTCCACAAAAGGGAGAAGAAATGGCTTCTGTGTATGCTTGGTAAACTTGACCACATTGTTTTAGACTCACTCTGTGCCTTTACAGGGGCTCCAGGAAGCACTGACCAGAGATAGTAACGCTCTCATTGACTTCCCACAACTAATGTGGTAGGGCTGAGCAAGGGGTATGTTTTTAAATCTAAAGCCATCCTGATTCATGCAACAATTTGACATTTAACAGAGACAAATCTAGCTCCTGGCTCATGTCGACACATGGAAAGTCTGTTAAGTGGGGGCAGTGCTGATTCACAGGCATCACTAACACCAATGGCCAATAAGTTGACCCCTGAGGTCATAGTTAAGGGCAGAGCATGTCTGGGAAGGGCTGAGTCCAATTCAGGACCCTCTCACTGAGGGTGTAGTCTCCTACCTCTTGGGTCTGTTCCATGCCTTTGCTCCCCCGAGGCCTGGAGCCTGCACTTAGAATGCACAGACCCCGACTCTTCACACACAAAGCTTTGCCTATACCATGAAGGCTCAGTGATCATGGTGGTCAGAAGTCTGGGTCAGACACCTGCACCTCATCACCATGCCCTCTTTCAGCTTTGTATTCTGGTTTTGGAAAGACACCTACCCCCACCAATTTAAATGAGCATCGGTCTTTATTTTACAGAGGTAGAAATTCATCCCCCTTTGGGGCACAAAGACCTTCAGTGTCAGGGCAGCTGGGGTCAAGAGCAGATCTGAACGGACATGTACACAGTCATTTCTAGAATATGTGATCATCCTTTTCTGGTTTTCATTCAACTCAGCCATAATACAGTCGTTCACTCCGAAATACAAGCCCAAAGTCATTTCCTTTCCTTGAGTTTCCTGGATTGAAACTCTCTGATCAGGTGGTGGTAACTCAAAGCACATCAATACAGAATTCCGAAAGTATAATCATCTAATCTTTCCAGAAAGGTTTATCATACCTGGAAGGAATTGAGGTCAGGTCCAGCTTGGCTCTGCCTCACTGTCCTGCAGGTTGCCTGACCTTCCCCAGATGGTCCCAGGGAGCATGCAAAATTAGCACTTGACTGGCCTCTGGCCCCAGGACCTCCATCAGGTCACCCCATCCGCACAGCACATCCTGCAGTTCAGCCTCTGTCACCTGCCAGGGTTTCCTTGTCGCATCTCTGATCCTCCCAGCTGCACCCTTCTCCATGGAAGGCAAACGGGCTCCTGGACCCGCGGGTAGCAACCTAGGAACGCCCCCTCCCCTCCCGGAGTTGGCGCAACTCAATCACTGGATCAAGAAAGGCTCCAGTGGCAATTCCTGTGTGTGCAGCACCCACCACAGCTGTGGGCAACCCCTCGGTGCCGCTCGCTTTCACATACACCGCCCTGTCACCGTCCGCCTCGCACTGTCGCCACCCGCAGACACACACTCTCCCTTCCTCTGTTTACCGAGAGCGAGCAAGAGAACTGCCGATGTAGTGGCCAACTTGAGCTGGGGACTTTGGGGGAGGGGACACGCCGCAAGCCCGTAGCCAGGGTCGCGCAGTTCGCAGCTGCTGGCACTGGTCGTGCTGCATGGGCGGCAGGGAGCCGGCAAGGGACCCGGCACCCCGGCGCTGCCCCCTCCTTCCTGCTGCGGCGGACGGAGAGGCGTCCTCGGCCTGGTTCGGCCACCCAGTACAGACACCCGAAGGGGCACACGACCACCGGTTTGCATCCCAAGCTCTTCTCTCACCTCCTGGGGTCCGGTCCAGTCGCGCCGACCGCTCCGCCGAGGCGGCTCTGCATCTCCCGAGCGCTCGCCTGCCGCCCTCCGGGGCGCCTCGCTGTCCCCACCGGGCGCGAAGGAGGGTCGTGGTGACGCGCGGAGGCAGCGGGGTCCTGGCGCCGCTTGCGCCGCCTCCTGCCCCCCGCAGTCCGCAGCCGAGCAGGAAATTTGTCCGGCCGGGTCTCACCGCTTCCTCGGCTGCGGATCTGACTCTGGCTCCTCGGCGCGGGGCGCGG